AGATCTGTGAATGGACACAGGTAATATGTTAAAATTCTTAATCTTCATATTTATTAATAGTTTCAGTTTTTAGTAGTTTGTTATATATGTGGCAATGACTGGAAGCCAATCTCATTTTAAACCAAAATGTATTAAATCAGAATATGACTCAGCAACAACAGCCATCTTAGGTAGTCATTACTCTTTTTTCTTCATCATCGTTTCAAATTGAGTGAGCTCACTTTTTAAGGACAAAGGTACTCTTTCCCAAACTCATGATATGATTTTCCTGGCAGCAGCTTTTTTTCTCTCTGTATTATGTAGTACAGTAGTGATTTTCAAAATGATGCAACTGGTCTTCACTTGACAGAGAAATGGCTTGAATTCAGATTGTCAAAATGGAAACATAGTTATGTTGGTAGTTGGAGTGGATCTTGAAAATTGGATTAGATCTGACGCAAAAGATACCCAGGAAGTAAGAGAACACTGTTTCTACTGAGTGAATGTACTGTTTGCAGCTGTCCATTAAAGTTATTTGCAAGGAGGAAATATTTTCTTTTACATACAGAAGGAAAACTGCTCTAATATAGGGGAATGTTGCTACAAATATGGGAGAAATGTTAAGGTGAAACAAACAGATGGCTGCTTACTGCTATAACATAATCACAGATTTATAGTGAATAGTGTATTACCTTAGTTTTTCATTAAACATCAGATGTTAGGAAGAGGTAGAATTCTGTGATTCCCAGCTGGTATTAACAGTGCTTATGAATAAGGATGCACTGTTCTGTGTTGGAGAGGTCTGGCTCTAGAACATCCAGTTTTTCCTCTGAAATAAATGTATGGAGGATTTAGGGATGGTTTTGTACTGGGCTGTGAGAATAATCTTGGGAGACAGGAAGAGCCGTAGTCTAGACAGCGGTCTGATAAGAGAAACCTGAATCCAAAGGAGGGAAGGGGGTGGAGAAGCCTCTCAGAAAGGACCCTCCCTAGTTCTCTGGAAAGTAAAGGCAGGGGAGGGGGGAAGTGCTTTCAGACTTCCAAGATTCTGTTACTGTAACTTTACAATAAAGGTAGTACAGTAGGTTTTGGTTTCCTGTCTGTTCTACCTTGAAGGGCTGAGAGGTCTATATATTTCCCAAAGTGGATTATATGCATCGAAAAGTAGCTGTGGTGTTTGACACATCCCTGCATATGAGAAGTAAAATGCTCAAAACTTTTAAGATTATTTGTAGTCTATGAAAGATAAATATTTTTCATTTAAGTTGTTGAAGTGTAGGCCTGAGCGCTTTTTATTTTTTAAAAGAACTGGCCTGCTTCCAAACAATATCTTAACATATTCCATGAACAGAGGGTGTTCAGCTACATATAAAAAACAGAAAAAAATATTGCCTATATGAGGGCATCAAGAAGAGAAGGGATTGATTATTTATTTATTTTCTAATATTTATATCCAACCCTAATCTTGACAAACTCTGGGTGGGTAACAATTGTATAAAATGTATTGATGATACCTTACCCCATGTTGACAGATGACCTCATCCAACAGCTTCAGGTAGATGTTAAATAGGAGGAGGGAGAAAGTAGAGCCTTGAGGCCCCATGCAAAGCAGGGGTCTTGGGCTTGATCTCTCCCCCTACCAATGCCAACTGTAACTAGCCCTGGGAAAAGTAGGAGAGCTATTTCAATATTGTGCCTCCCACTCCAAATTTCCTGAGCCAGCCCAAAAGGATACCATGATTGATGATATCAAAAGCTGCTGAGAGATCAAGGAGGGCCAGGATGGATTCACTACCCCATCCTGAGCCCACCAGAGGTTTGGGTGTTGCAGTGAGCCATACCCCAGGAACTTCATGGAGTCTCCAACAGGCCCTGACTAGGTGACTTTAGCAAATAGGCAGATTCTGTGTTGGGGAGAGTGAGGACAAACATGTTTAGATTACTGAATGTAGAATACCCACTCCAAAAATAAAAATAAAAATCACCCTATGCATAGGGAATGTTTAAGAAGACAGCAGAAGGGGAGAGAGGCAACCTGAAGCCCCCGTCCCCTTTTTTGTAACCCTTGAATCCCCTACATTTGTTAATTGTGGTCCTTGGCCAACTGGTTGGCAATTTTTTTCTGTAAATGGCTGAATCCCACCCCTCCCCTCCATCTGACAGGTCTGCAAGCCAAGGAGTGCAGCAAGGAGGCCAAGGAACTACTAGCAAGGAGGCTGTTGATAGGCCGCCACTGCTGCCCAGGATGCTCTGGCCCTTGGCCCCACCCTTCACCCTGGGAGCTTGGCTGAGGCTTGGGACTGGCAATTTGCCCCCCATCCATTCTTAATTCACAGACCATGCAAAAACAGGCAATGGGCTGGATTTGGCCCCCCAGGCATAGTATGTCAATACCTGCTGTAAGGCAACCTCAGTATAGGATTATTGATAATATAATTGTCTGTTTAACTCATTCCTTTCTCTAGATTTCCTTCCATGATGACCCATTTTAAGATCCATCCAATTGTTCCAGGAGCAGATGGTTGATGGAATCTTAGTCTCCTTCTCTCTGTTACAATCTGTGCTTTGGCCTTCCAGCTGTAATTACAGCAAGTTATTAGCTGGGAACTCTTTCCAACACATGCTATTCTCCAAATATAATTTTCTGTGCCAGTGGAGAAAAATACAGCTAGCTATTTACATTATCTGTTTTAGCCCCACCTATCAGTAGCAAAAAGCCAAGATGGTTAAATAAGTGCTGGGGAGTTCCAAGGTGAAGTCTTCTTTGGACCGTGAAGCTCACTAGGTGACTTTATCTATTACAATCACTCAGCCTAGCCTACTTTACAAGATGATTGTGAGAAAAAAACAAGTGTTAGTGTGTGTGTGTGTACGTATAGGATATAAATGCAATAAATTAATGAATACATAAGGTTACTTTTCCACTAGTCATCTTTTATTTGGAGTGATAGGAAACCGCATTCTGTATGGTGCACTAGAAGCACCACATTTTGAAATGTTGTGGCAAAGTAGTTTCAAGGGAATTCATCCATCTTAGTTATATTGATTTACCAAACTGCTTTGAAGGAATCTTTTTATTTATTAGGTTTTATATACCATTGACTGTTGAAGTCTCTCACTTGTTTACAGTGTGCTCTTGCAATTTGCATAAGAGGCTTGATAAAATTTAATCATATTTGGATAGACCTGCTGTCACTGAGTCATTGAGTTTGTAATCCTACTTGACTAATTTAATACATATCCAACTTAGTTTGTTAAGTAATTCCTGTAATTGGTGAAAGCCTATTCAAATTAGAAAATTAAAACCTTTAACTGTTGGTGAAAATAGTGAATGATATTAGACATAAAATTAACATTTTAAAAGGTTTTGTTAAGTCAGATATGATTTTTAGGGCACTGAAGCTTTTTAGTAAAATTTCGAAAAGAAAAGAAAAAATTCTACCTGGAAGACCTCTAGTCTCCGGTAAGCACTCTTAGCTGGAGAAGAATTTTACAGCCACAGTAGATGAAATCATCACTGCCCAATCAGCATGTTTCTCAAAGTTGCTTACCTATAGATCTCACAAAGAGCCCCCAGAGGTTTGTATAGTCTAATTTGCATGTTCCTTTTTGGGGTGATAACAGAGCAAGCACAACATGTTTTCAGGAATTTTGAGTTTTAAATGTATGCAAATACTCTATCTTTTCAACATTAACATTGACAGTTGTTGCAACATTTGATACAGTTTTCTTTCCCAGTGTAGTGTAAAGAATCAAAAATAGTCACTGGATTTCTTACAGGTTTTTTCATAATACTGTACAACTTTCTTTTTTTATTTTACAGCAGAATCTCTTTTAATCAAACAGGGATCTACAGGGACAAACATGTGGAAAGATGTTGCTTATTGCGCTCATTCACTTTTTACAAGGCATTCTAATTCATTATTTCTAATGAAATAATATCTTTGTTTTTCCTTATGCTACTTTTACCATATTTTTAGATAATAAGTTAGATCACCATAGCAGAGATAATTTTTTTAGTACTATGTATCTTTTTAAGAAGATATTATTTTGATTTGTACAATGATCTGTTGACCCTTTCTCTTACTGCAGTACATCTGCATTATTGCCTTTTTCAGAACAAACTCCATTGTGCATGTATGTTTTAATGTATTCTTTAATTTGCATTCAAAACCTGTCTGTATCTGCTTCTTGTCATTTCAGCACTTCAACATTTTCCACTCCCCCCGAGAAATAAATGTTGGAAAATGTTTTTAGTCTACCTTTAAAAGAAAAAAAGAGTAATTACACAATAGCACTTCAAAATGCTTTTAACCAATTTACATATTGAATTAAAAACAACATGTTTAAATGAATTATCCCTTCTTTATTCATCTCTGTAATATATGTATGTGGGCTTTGCCTCTGTGCAGTGTCCCATTTGGAACCTCCCAGGGTTCGGAAGTTTTTGGTGGAAGTTCCACCCTCCCTGCCTATTGTTCATTATCCTATGTGCGGCTTTCTTCAAGTGCTCTGCTCATTTGTCATATCTGTATTTTCCTATTCTCCAGTCTGTTCCCCCCCCTTTTTTTCCCCTTACTGTTACTGTGTGGTTAAGAAAAAGTCATTGTTTTGGCTTTGAAAGCTCATTACTAAACTGAAGTAGTAAACTTCTCTCTTTGGAAAAACAGCAACATTATAGCTAAGCAAAAACTAAACAAGGCCTGTCATAAGATTGGTGTGAAAAGTTTCAGAAGGCTTCAGTTCCACCTTCCCATCTTGCTCAAGTGGTGAAAGTATCTGACCCAGTATTTCTGGGACAGTAAATTGGAGCAAGTATTAGCAGTACCAGTGGCGTAGACATATGTGCTACAGTGGCACTGCAGGTATGATATCTCCACTGTATTCCACCCAGATAGATACTAGGTATCTCTGCTCTCTGCTCTAATGCCAAGGAATGTCTGCAGTAGTGTCTGGCAACAGAGAACCTGGCCAAGGGAATAATTTGTATAATCCTCCCCCCCCTTTTTTGTTTCTGATAGGTACTTGCTACTGATGCATCTGTGTTGAGGTGGGAACACACCTCTTCTCCTTTTGCATTCAGGTTATCCTGTCAGTGATCAGGGTGTTCTGGCACATCAACAGACTGGAGATATTTGTGATTCCTAAGGTATTTTGAATACTTAAACATTTCCTTTGGTGTCAGATAACATTAGGGTGTCATATTGGCAAGAAATGTGCTTTGGGTATGAACCTTTGGTTGGCAGCCATGCATCATGTTACAGTGGTTCTTCAACCAGATATTTACTTATTTTACTGAAGCTCAAGTTGCACCTAGCATTGTTCTTCTAGTTTTTTCCCCTATCCTTCAATATAGATAGAATCTTACATAGTCCTAATATTTGGATGGCACTGATTTTTTATTTTTAAAGAACTGCCACATTTTTATGACCTGGACAAAATTCAGAACTGTCATCTCAACTGGTCTCTAAACAGATAATTTAATTCTGTTATGAGTTATCTAAGCAGTATTGCCCATTGTATATTTAAAGTCATCCAAAAGAGTGGAGGTAACCTCTGGAGTCTTTCTTCTAAACATCCCTGTGCAGTTGATCTATCAAAGAATTACCTGGACCCTGTCTTTCACATTTATTAATCACTACTATCCATTCTCAGAGAGAATGCAGCTTTGATAAAACAGTTTTCTGTTGCCTTATGAAAATCAACACACCTCCAAACCAACTTGACTACACATCCATATGTGAGAACAACACAGATTATGATGAAGACCATAATTCATAGAATCCATCCATATTTTATTAAGTGATATCCGTTCTTCTCTGATTCCTGGAAGCTCACTGTGTCAGAAACTGAGCGGATTAGTGGGAATTATGTCTAGAAACATCTGTAAGGAGCATGGAACTTGCACCAGAAATCTCTAAGCTGTAGCAGATATTGCATAGGTTCAAAACTTCTATAGTTGGCTTCACAGATGACCAAACAGCCTCTTTGCCACCCCTGAGTGCAGACAGAACATATTTTTTGTGTGTATGTACATGTGTGTGTGTATGTGTACACGAGTCATGTAAATTCAATGTTATCTGTCACTTGCAACTGAGAGTCTATACAATTCCTTTTTGTTGAATTCTGTTAGAACTAGTTGCTTCTTAGCCCAGCTCTCTGAGCACTATTTTGTACTTATCGTAGCAGGCTCCCAACTCAAACTACACCCACGCCTCGTTTAGTGACCAAGTTCTGTTCCGGTGACCAGGTCATTAAGTGAAATGTTCACTAAGTGAACACGTGACACAGAGAGACTGCGGAGATCACTGGTTGCTGCCATCTCATTTAGATAAAGTTTTCTCATACAGCTATGCCAGTATTATTCTCACTCCAGCGTGCATTATTGTCAGGCACACAAAATTTGATTGTAAATGCATGCATTGGTCAAAAAATGATTTTTTTATTATGTTGTATTTGCAAATGGTTGCTAACCAAGGTAGTTGCTAAGCAAGGAATGGGTGTAATACAGGTTGTCCTTGCTTAATGACTGCCTTGTTTAGCAACAGTTCAAAGTTACAACAGCGCTGAAAATGTAACTTTATGACTAGTTCTTGCGCTTACAACCGTTGCAGTATCCCTGTGGTCACATGATTGACATTCGGGGGCTTCACAACAGGTGGGCGTTTATGACTGTTGCAGCGTCCCTTGGTCACGTGATTGCCACTTCCACACTTCACAGCTGGCTTCTGACAAGCAGAGTCAATGGAGAAGCTGGCAGTAAAATTGCAAATCATGGTCATGTGATGTCTTGCTTAACGACTGTGGGTAATTTGTTTAATGACTGTGGAGGAAGTAGATTGTAAGACTGTCATGGTCACATGATGTCTCACAAAATGACCGTGTTGCTTAGTGATGGAGTTGGCAGTCCCAGTTGTGCTCATTAAGTGAGAACTACCTGTGCGTACTGAGCAGAGGTTGTCAATCCACCAGCCACATACCTCCCATCTGAAACTCTCAGAATCCCACCAGTGCTGGTACACTGTTTGGAGGGAAGGAATTTTAGGTGGCACAATGGGTGCTGTAAGCCTCATACTTGTAGCATCTCTGATATCCACCCCCCTGGTTAGGCCGATTTTTCCTATGGGGAGTTTAGTGGCAAATACAAGGCTTAAAGTAAGAATTTTGTCCCTTAAATCTGCAGAAAATGACACCCCCACCCCCCCACCCTCCCAAAATTCAAGTATCTTCCTCCAGTATCATCATAAGGTTAATGTCCATATTCCTTTCAGACTTCAGGCAGAACAGAAGAAAAGTGCTATTAGGCTAAAAAAGCCTGTTCTATAGTCACAGCTGCTGTTTTTGAGTCTTGAATCCACTATTCCTTGCCACCATCGTATTTCAATGGGGCACCTTATGAAGATTTACTGTTCTACAATAAAAGTTATTCTGTTCATGTTTACATTTCCTAAGTGAAAATTATGTTAGTATTTGATTCTTTTGGGATCTTTTTTTTAAAGTACTGCTTCTGTTTTATTTGAGGGGGTGCAATTTTACTTTGTTTTCCCATATTTGTATCTCCTTAGCTTTTAAAAAGACATTTAAAACACAACTTGCAAACTACCTGACCGCTCTGACCACCACCTCTAGGGAAAGAATTCTTCAGAGCTAGGGATGATTTATTTATATTTATTTATATTTCAGATTTAGACACCACCCATCTCACAAGGAAGTGATCTGGGCAGTTTACAATAAAATCATGATGCCTTACTTCTGCCCATATAACTGGTAGATATAACAAAATCCCTTTATACATGAACATTTATGCTCATGTGACTCTGGAAAAATAAAGTCCTGTGAAAAAGTAAGTACACCCCATTGAAATATTTGGTTTTTTTCAACATATTTCAATATATAGATATTTGATCTTCATTTCAACAATATTGATAAAGGGATATAATATAATAAATATCATGCACCATTTACATTTTGTAAATAAACATCAGTGCAAATTTTGCATGTGGAGAAAGTAACTACAGCCACTCTTCGCATAGCAGCTAATGACTATTTGCAAATACCACTGTAATAAAAAGAAATCATTTTCCAACCAATGCACTCATTGACAACCAAATTTCATGCACCTAACAACAACACACGCTGGAGTGAGACAACAACAAATTTCTCTGACTAATTTTAATTTCATTTTATAATTCATATTTCAAATTTTCCTCTTAGTAAACTGTATCTTATTAACTGAAATTTATTACCTCAGTGTTTTTCTTTTTTTCATGTTGTGAATAACTTCTGATCTTCTATCGTAATAAAGATTTGATTATTATAATATTTAAGCTTATTGTCAGAGCTATTTTGTCATTCTTTATTGATTGTGCCACACCTTAATGCTTAAATGCTTAATAAACAATGTATTGAATTCATCAACATAGCTGACAGATTATATGGGGAAAAGTTATGTGTGTAAGTACAAGATGAAGATAATTGTGTATGCAAAAGGCCTTCAATCAAGATTTGGGGGTTATAATAGGTAATGAGTATAATATCTAACAGTTTGATGCTATAACACAAACAGTGCTATTGGAAGCTATATTGATGTGTTCTCTGCAAATCTTGGGAAGTTGATTAATATTTTGAGCCTAAAGGTAGTCCTCGCATACTGACCCTAATTGGGACTGGAATTTCCATCACTAAGCAAAGCCGTTATTAGGTGAAACATCATGTGACCACACTGCTCAGAGATGGCAGTTCTGGTAGTCCCAGTTGCGGTCATTAGGCCAGGACCATGCTGTCAATAGGTCAGGACCTCACAGTTCTCCTGTCCTGCTGCGCTCACCTCTGCTTCAACTCCCCCCACCCACCTATCTCCCCACCAATCTCTGCCTTTTAGTCATCCTGCATTCTACTACCACCTACCCCTGTTGCCCCCCACTGGCCCTAGCTGACCTTCATTGTCTTGGCGAAGTCCTCGTGAAGGGTCAGCAGCTGCCTTGGCCAGGCATGCCTAATCAGCAGTGGGAGGAAGAACACAAGTTGAAACACACGCTGTGGTCATAAATGTGGGCAGGCTGCCAAACTCCCAATTTTTGGTCACGTGACAATGGGGGTGCTGCAATGCCTGTAGCTTTGAGGACCAGCCATAACTACCATTTGTTCAGTGCTGTCATAACTTCAAATGGTTGCTGAACAAATGGTCATTAAGCAAGGACTACCTAGTAGAACATCATCTAGATCACAATGTAACTGTGAACTGATGGTACTTCTGCGCTATCTCGGTATAGAACAGTAACGGCTACACCAATGTATATGAGTTATAAGGATTTTGAATTTTAGCAGCAGCATCCATAAAACTACCAGTGTTGATACTTCAGATGCTGTAATACCAGATGTAGCTATTTAAGCTTTTTACACTTCGTTAACTGGTATTTGCATAATTTTCTAAATTTACTTAAATTTGTTTGCCATAGGATGACCAGTAGACCAGATAAAAAGGATATATATATATATATATAAAACTGGTTATGATGATGACTTGCAGAATCCAAATAAACCTCAGTAGTTTGCTGGGCTGCAGGTAGAATAAGATAACTGGAAGCTACAAACTTATGCAGTTCTGTATGTGATAAAGACTGAGGGGAAGCAGCCCTTTAGGTACAGATGGGATATCTTCAATAATCTTTAGGGTATTCAAGGGTATTTTCATGGCTGAAAATAAGGAAATGTAGGAATACGTGATTTGGTGGAATATTGAATGAACAGGAATTAGTAAAGTGTATGTAGAACTGATCACCAAGAATATAGAGGTAGTCCTCACTTACCTATCACAGTTGGGACTGGCAAATCACGTGACTGAGCTGGATTTATGACATCACTTCTGCTTCTTTTAAACGAATCACATGACCACAGGACGCTGCAACAGCCCTAAATGCGAGGATTGGTCGCAAAGCTGTTTTTTTTAACCGTTGTAATTTTGAATGCTAAACAAAGCAGTTGCTAACTGAGGACTCCCTGTAGTGTAGTAGAAATATTCTAGAAAAATCCTTTTCCTTCATGCTTGTTATGCTGCAGTTTTCCCTCTGTATTTTACTATAAATCCTAATCTTCCTTTTATACAGTGTTTTTACTCAAGCAGCAAAGCTCTCTTAGTACCATACATAC